AATATTAGGTCGCGTCTGGCGTCACTCCGCTGGGCCCTCTGGCAGCCCTCGAACGTGGCGACAGCTTCGCAGCTCGCAGGGCTCCTTTAGGCATGCGCAAGAGTCGTTCTGTTCTCCCCCCCCCTGCAGGCCTGGAACGTGGAGAAAGTTTCGCAGTTCGCAGCCCCCCAGCGCGCCCGCGGGGAGGGGGGCGGGAGGAGGTTGGAGCGTCTGGGGGGAGGCAGCGTCTCCTCTGGCACCTGCGCCCGACGACGGAGGGGCCTCCCGCGGCCGCTGCCGGGGGGCAGCTCGGCCGCCTGAAGGGCAGCTCTCGCGGGCGAGCGGGCCACCTCCGCAGGATGCGGCCCCCCCTGAGATTTCCTCTGTTGATGTGAAGGGGAACTGGGACACACAAATAAATACACACATATAAAAATATCCTCCATATTTTCCCATATGTTCTGGGTTTTTGTTTTCCCCCCCACTTCCCATATTTTCCCATATTTTCTGGGAATCGCCGATCAATTGTGTCTGTGTGATTTTTCCCCTCCTGATGATGGGCAATGCGGTGCAGCTGGAAGGAAAAACAATACATTTAAAGGTGTCGGGTCCGGGGTGGATCAGGCCCAGAGCCAAGAGGGGTCCAAGAATGGGGGCGCGGGGAGGTCTGCATTCAGCCGCCTGTGGGCGAGCATATACATGGGGCAGCAGCGGCAGAAATAAGGATTCAGCGAGCCCCTAGCCCCAGGACGTCCCCAGAGGCAACCTCGATAACTATGGGTTGCGCATCCTCGACTCCGCGACCCCCCCCCCCCCCCCAGGTCGCAAAGCAAGCGCTGCGCCGCGAGGCCGGGCAGCGAAGCATCACCGAGGCAACGGCCGACCAGTCGATCGCCGCAACGTCCGAGGCGCGGACCCCAAACCAGCGCCGCAATCTACAAGCCAGACTGGCATGGAGACGAGGAGGGGACGCGAGGGGCGATCGATGGAGAGAGGAGTAGGCGGTTGCCTGCGGGCGCGCACTGGGCGCCGAGCTTCCTGCCTCACGGGCGCCCTGCTGCGCCTGCCGCAGCGCCCTCGCCGCCGTCGCCCTCGGGGCCTCGCCCTCGAGGTCTCGCTGGAGAGTGACCGAGATGGCCTCCGAGCGCCGCCAGCTCGGCCAAGGCTGCCCGCCCAGCCAGCGCACCATCGACAGGTGCAACTCCGCCGCCTCCCAGAGAGCCGCAGCCTCCGACTGCGCCGCGGCCTGGGTCGTCGTCGCGGCCGCCCTGACGAGGCGCGCCTGCGCCCAAGCCGAGGCCGACATCAGGCGCGGGCCGCCGACGGACGGGAGCTCGCGCCACTCGCCGTCGCCCAGGAAGGCGCCTGGGAGCCGCAGCAGCTTAGGCAGCGGCGCCCTCTCCAGCCGCCGCAGCTCGGTCGGCGGCTCCAGCATCTGCGCCTTGTAGCCCAGGACGGAGACGCTGCGCTCGCCGCAGAGCAGGGCCAACGAGTGCACGTCGGCCTTCGAGCGAAACACCTCGCCCACCCTCTCGCGGAGCTCGGCGAGGGGCGCCCGCCGCTGGGAGGCCGGGTCGGCACCAGGGCCGAGCAGCACTCCGAGGTACTCCAAGACGTCACTGACGTGGAAGTCCCTCCAGTCGCTGCAGACCTCCGACAGGCGGAGCGAAGTTCCGGCGCTGAGGTCATCCGAGAGCGGTGCGCCCAGGGGCACGGCATGACACTTGGCCGGATTGAGCTGCAGGCTGGCCAGAAGGCGCGCCATCTCGAAGACGCGGGCCATGGAGTTCAGCGCCTTCGCACCTCTGACCGCAGCGCCCAGGTCGTCGGCGCGCCATCGCGCGCGGCCGTGCCCTTTCAGGTCAACGTGGAGCTCCACGTCGCGGCCGAACGCGCGCGCGCGGCCAGCGCGCGCAACGAGCCGCTGGCGGGATCGCCCTGCAGGATGCCCGGGCGGACCGCGCGCAGCAGCTGGTGAGACCGAGAGGCGGCGAAGCTCTGGGCGCCGACGCATGCGACGCGCAGCGCGGCCTGGAAGCCGATCGGCGCCAGTCGCGCTCGACGCCGGGGAAGGCCTGGCCGAAGTCGAACGCCAGGGGAATCGGGAAGGAGCCCAGGTCCCCGTCGCTGGCGCGCACCGCCAGGATGCGCGAGTAGGTGTCCAGCTCCGCGATGTTGTTGCAGAAGTTGCGGCCACGCAGGAAGCCGCGCTGCGCGGCCACGCAGCGCTTGTCGACCGCTGGCTTCATGTGACGATTGGTGGCCCACATGACCGCCTTCTTCGAGTTGTTATCCAGCGCCGGCGGTAGCGTCTCGCCTGGGCGGCGAACCACCTCGATCGGGCCCTCCAGCCCGGCGCCTTTGGCAGGGGAGACCGCCGCCGAGAAATTCCAGGACGCGCGCGTCGGGAGGCCAGCGATCTGCGGTGCATGGCCATCGTCAAGGCGTCGATGCCGAGCGGCGAGGCCAGCCAGGCCTTGGGGCCGAGACCGCAAGGACCAGGCACGGCCCGACGGCAGCGCGGAGCGCCAGGGCGACAGCATGCGTCGGCGGCGGCAGGAGGGCC